TATTTCTGGATTGAAATAGATATTTACCTTAAATGAAATATTGGAGGTATATAATTCAATGGTGACAAACGTGACTAGCTTGAGGGAAGAAGTCATCATTTAGGATCACTTTGATCTGAGTCGTTAATAACAAATATATGAGAAAGTGCAATAATTCACAATGAATTATTTGAGAACTATTTTGGAATATGGACAAATACTTTAAAAGAATTATATATTATGTTCCAATGACACAAATAATGCAATATTGTTTATCGAACAAAAAAGAGAATGGTGTATATAACTGGCATTAGCTGATATATTTTATTTAAAGTGTAGGCATGCTGACCTAGGAATACTTATATAAAATACTTTTTTAATATTAAATTCGGCTTGATACATACATACATACATACATACATACATACATACATACATACATACATACATACATACATACATACATACATACATACATACATACATACATACATACATACATACATACATACATTATGGTTAGAGCAAAAGCGGGGAGGAGATATTCTGTCTATAATGAGTGTATTGATAAATATATAAAAAGCAACCATCGCCCCATAGGCCTGTGTGTGTGTGTGTGTGTGTGTGTGTGTGTGTGTGTGTGTGTGTGTGTAATTTTAATTCGTACTCTACGAAGATTCTAACAGATACGCAGGTAAACAGCATCCATCGCCTTGACTGCATACACCAGCTCACACCATCAAAAACTGATACTACAAAATTGTTCGTATATATATATATATATATATATATATATAGTTTAATACAAACAATACTATCATACAGGTTAGAGAAATTAAATTCGTACTCTACCGAGTTTCGAACCCAGGTCCGCGAGTAAATGGCACCCATCGCCTTGCCTGCACGCACCAACCCATATACCGTCACGACTAAGCACGCATCACCAAAAAATGATGGCACTGAATCGTTGTTATATAAGCTTGTGCGTAGCAGACACACTCGCATGACGACCTAGTAATTAATTCTCATATATACACACAGTCGTTCCAGATTCCTCTGAAAGAAATCAAGGTATATAGGAGTTTTGTTTTACAAAGAATTATAAATATATACCAAACATATATATATATTGATTTTATTCGTAGGAATCCAGAGTAACGGAGTAGACGGAGGAGAATTAATTACTAGGTCGCCAGACGAGTGTAGCTGCTACGCACGAGTGCGTATACCACCGACTTTGAAGCGGGGCTTGGGTGGGGTATGGATGGTTTGGATTTTTCAAGTAGATATAACGTACTAGGTCGCCAGACGAGTGTAGCTGCTACGCACGAGTGCGTATAAAACCGACTTTAAAGCGGGGCTTGGGGGGGTATGGATGGTTTGGATTTTTAAAGTAGATTTAACAAAGTTTCAGTATTATCGGTAGGATGACTTCGGTGGGGCAGTTTATAATGATGTCATGGGGCACTGTCAGAGGCATAGCGCGGACATATGAAGCCCACGGCAAGAATTGAAATTGCGCCCTACCAAAGTAGCGCCCACGGTAGGAACTAAAATTGCGTCTCTATCAAAGCTTTGAAATTATTTTTTTTTAATATATGTTCTGTTCACCGATTTTGCACACAAACACACACACACACACACACACACACACACTCACACAGAGACACACTTTAAGTGGTGCCCACGGCACTTGCGGAGTCTCGCCACACCCTTGCTACACCTCTGGGTACTCTGCCGCAGACATGTAGCATGATAGCCCTGCCGAACTGTCCTAACACTAACCTCTTAATGTTGAGCGTCTAGCGAGATAGTCCAAGCCATGCCATCCCATTTTCAATATTTGCCATTTTATGTAGGAAAATCAAATAACAAAAATTGGCAAACTAGGGTCAGATGAAACTTGGATTACTAGCGAGGCATATTTTTGTAAAAAAAATTACAAGTCTCTAGTATGACTTGGCCGGGGTTCGAACCATCGACCTCCCGCATCCGAGGCGGACGTTCGAACTAATTGGCCACGGAATGGAATATGAACTGGTTCGCGCGGCAAGGCGATTGACGCCTTTTACCCGTGGACCTGTGTTTGAATCTCCATTGAGCACGAATAAAAAAATTCCATTATCTTCATGATAGTATTATTTGTATTAAAACTGCCTTGCATTATCAAACAATATTTTGTAGAATCGATTAATAGCGTTATATATATATATATATATATATATATATATATATATATATATATATATATATATATATATATATATATATATATATATATATATATATATATATATATATATAATGAAATGAGTCAGCCCTGTTCCCAAGCCAAAGGATTCATTTGTGTTTAGCAGTCAACTCATAACGTTGTGATGTTACCAAGAATACAAAATATACACACATGCGTACCTCTACCGAATTCCTGCCACGTTGTTTACCACATAACCTAGATAACCTAATTCACGGACAACTCCTCTTTTTAGGGTAATTGATTTATATTTAACTTTTCGCTCAAAGTGAAGGTCGAATGCGTATCGTATGCCAGTGTCTAAGTAAAATATGGGTTTCGATCAGCATTTTTGTCCACATGGTCTTCATTCTTTGCAATGAAAACTGACACATACCTGGACATATTTCATCTCTTACGTTGCAAAATAAAATTCTATCTAGTTTGTGATATGGCATTAAGTCAGTTTTTCCGCATGTGTTTAGATCCAGCTTATTGAACTAGCAAAAGTAGGACAAAAATAGCCACAGCGTGTGTGTGTGTGTGTGTGTGTATATATATATATATATATATATATATATATATATATATATATATATATATATATATATATATATATATATATATATATATATATATATATATATATATATATATATATATATATATACAATATTCACCAAGTGGCCTTGTGGTCTAACGGGCTGACCGTTACGGATCACTGCCATCTCACCCCTGGGTTAGTTCGTTAGTTCGAGTCCAGACTCGGCTAACTTTGATAAGTGAGAAGGCATGCCAGTAGCTTCTCGTGGGTCCAAGGTTCTTCCTACACCTTTAATATTTGCCGCCATGTATAGCCTATCTTGTGCTGAAAAATGGCGTTAAACCCTATAACAACAACAAGAACAATATTCACCATTGTGGACTGTAACTTTGAGTGCATTATTTTAAGGACCCTATTCACACAAGTACACATTTATGTCGTGCTTCTCATATGAATCAGCGGTAACATGTGTTTATGTAACTGCACAATATGTAAACTGTGTGTGCGTGTGCGTGCGTGTCTTCTTTAAGTTCTTTTATGCTTCTGAAAATCTGTCTATCTGTCCATATATCCACACAAACAAGTTCACTGCACGATGGAATAGGTTGTATCAGTGAGAATTAGTGTTTTAATTCACACTCTTGCTTTGTTCATAATCTAATTTTGGACTGGTTCTAGACACACGTTAAAGGTATTTACTGTTATTCTTGAGTCTGCTTTTTTCATCAATATGAATATAATGAATACAGAACACCAGGCTTGGAGAAACGGAGCACTTATTTTTAAACCTGATATCGGTTTGTATTGGTTAAGAAGACGGAAGATCCATTTTTCCTTGAAAATTGTGTGCATTATAGTAATTCATTCATCCGTATCAAAAACAGGAATATCAGGTAGACTGCCAGTGCATGTTTTAGGCGAGGCTACGTACTAATTCTGATTAGCTTAAAGTTGGTTGGGGATTTTTTAAATATTATATTTTTGCAGTCCCGTTTATTCCAGTACGGATATGGGACAGTGCTAGTACATTTCTTCATATCAAAGTGAGGCATTTAAAAGAAATTCGAGACAGCCATACTGTGCAAACAATAGTATGTTATGATCCTTTTTGAAACTTATACTATTGATAAACGACATTTTGGTCCACCAGATATGTCATATATCTGTTTAACTTTATGTTTTCACTGAATTATGACTGAAATTGTTTTCAATAACACACACACACACACACACACACACACACACACACACACACACACACACACACATTCCATGAGTAGGAGTTGCAAATGCCGTACACTTTCTAGAGACTTTGGTGTAATATCTATTTGAAGGAGTTCAACAGGAAGATTTGGTCGTTCCAAATATCTTTCATTTGAAGCCTGTTTTTTATCAGACGGTTTATCATTTTTTTTTCTCTACACTTACACATGTATCTGTCCAATCTCATATAGCTTGAGAAGACACACTGCATATTACATGTTTTCCAGTAACATCACTGACAGAAGAACTTAAAAGATTTCTAACTCTGTATATATATTTGATTGGTTGGTTGTTTTGGGGATTTTAACGCTATTGCTCAGCGCAGTTTAAGTTATTCATGGCAGCCAGTATCACTAGTGGAGGAAGAACCCGAGAAAAGCCCCGTAATAAACACCGACCCATATGAAGATACTGGCAGTTTTTTTTTTTTTTTTTTTTGTTTTGGTCAAGCTCGAAGGCCGATAAAGGTGAAATTGTATTAATTTCGTAGGAATTGCATTAATCAGTAAAATAGAGCACTTTAGACAATCTGAATAAAATCAGATCGCCACTGTTATACATTAAGATATGACAGCGACCGCTTATGGGCCATGTTCTGGGAACTATGTTATCACCATAATCGCTAATTTTATCAACCAGTCCGATGAAGTCATATATCTTTGCGTTTGGCGATTGAGCATTGTGGATGAAAAGCATGAATGTGTACTGAACAATTTGTTTCACATTCAAATTTTTGAAATCTGCGTTTCTATTGGCTATTCAAGGGTCACCTAAACATGACCCTTAAGCGGTCGTCGTTAGATCTTCACTTTGGACCGAAGATCTGATTTTAATCAGATTATCCCTTTAGACCACAAGGCTACCCAGGGCACCTGTATATGGATAACGTTTTACTTGAGATAAGTTCACCATCCACTCTCGGCATAGGTACACCACATCTCCTTCAAATAACAATAAATCCCTGACCTTACCTTCCAAGCTACCGCTCTGGTGGCGTAGTGGTTAGAGTGTCTGCCTTGGATGCGGAAGGTCGCGGGTTCAAATCCCGACCAAGTCATACCAAAGACATAAAAATGGTACTAACAACTGCCTCGCTTGGCCCTCAGCATCAAGAGGTTAGTGTTAGGACTGTGGACCTGGTGTCAGGATAATGTGACTGGGTGGGCATCATGCTACATGTCTGCGGCATGATGGACAATGCTCATCTACATTGCTCAATCTCCAAACTCAAAGATATATGACTTTATCGGACTAGTTGATAATGCTAGACATCACTATAAACTGCAACACTGCAAACATCGTAACGATATGACTGAAAATTTGTAAAGCTACGTTAAAAGTACAAATCACACACACACACACACACACACACACACACGATCTTTTAACCGCTCTGGTGGCCTAGTGGTTAGAGCGTCCGATTCGAAGGTGGGAAGTCGTGGGTTCTATCCCCGGTCGAGTCGTGCCAAAGACTTACAAAAATGGTACTAACAGCTGCTTCGCTTGGCGCTCAGCATCAAGAGGTTAGTGTTAGGACTGGTCGGCCTGGTGTCAGGATAATGTGACTGGGTGGGCATCATGCTACATGTCTGCGACATGATGCTCCAGTGCTAGACATTACTATAAACTGCCACACTGCAGACATCGTAGCAGTATGACTGAAAAAATTGTTAAAGCTACTTTAAAAATCAAAATCACACACACACACACTCACACACAAGATCTTTTATACGCACAATGCACACGGTCATTTTTCCTGTCATTTTTTTTTTGTTATGTGCAATAATAATAATTGTGCATAAGAGAATTTGAAATTAAGTTAATCATGTGCAGTAATGCAAAAAGGATAGAAGTTAAACCTTGCATATAATTGAAATGTCCCTTGACTATGAGGGATGGTGAGTGAATGATTACATGGAATTTGATATCAGCATGATCATCCTTTATTGACTAAATTAATTTAGTCCGAGTACCATTATATGTTCCCCACCCCTTGTAAAAGCCAATAGCTAGATAGTTACCTTGGGTGATCTAACCCATCGTAAGATTCCATATAGGCCTACTTGTGTCGTTCACGAAATATGAAAGATCAGATGAACTTGGCTTGTAGATTAAGTAAGAGGAAAATGAACTACACGGAAAGTGGACAACCATAACACAAGGTCCATATAAATCGAAAGTTTTCATATTGAAGACAAAAAACAAATGCAGCTGCAAAACTAGAATGTGTACGGAGACAAAACGGATAGTTTACTGACAATTATATTATATACAACCCAATCTAGACTCAAAAGAAAGCATTGGTTGCAGTTAGTGAGAACTCTACAGTCGTATGCATGTTTTCTTTGCTTTATGTTTCTCAAAGAGATCATATATACAGTATGAAAAAATCAAGATATGTGCCTTTGCATTAGGGAAGGACCGCTTCTTTGGCCAAAATGGTCAGAGCGTCATCCTTGGATGCGGGAGGTTGAGTGTTCGAACCCTGATCATGTCATACCAAAGACTTATAAAAATTATACTTGCAGCTGCCTCGCTAGGCGCTCAGTATTGAGTATAGTGTTAAGACTGGTTGTTAGGACTTGTGGGAATGGTGTCAGGATAGTGTAATTGGGTGAGACATCATGTTACATGTTTTCATTATGATGCCATAGTGCTAGACATCACTTAAAAGCTACATTAAAAATCTAAATAACACACACACACACACACACACACACACACACACACACACACACATACATTCACACATATTAGGGAAGAATTTCTGAACAAAATAAAACAGAGCCCCGAGTTGCTGAGTGGTCTAAAGCGCACTCCGTTACAGATCACTGCCATTTCACCTCTGTCTGCGTGGGTTCGAGTCTAAGATTCGGCGAATGTGGATATGTGAGAAAGCTTGCCAGTTGCTTCTCGTGGGTCAGTGATTATTTCCGCTGATTTCCCGAATTTCTTCCTCCACCATTAATACTGGCCGCCAGGTATAGCCTATTATCGTGTGCTGAAAATGGCGTTAAGCTCACAAGAAAAACAAAAAAAAAAAACATTAGGGTTGTCCGCGGATGCGGGAGTTCGCGGGTTTTATCCCCGGTCGAGTTATACCAAAGACTTTTAAAAATGGTATTAACAGCTGCCTCGCTTGGCCCTCAGCATTAAGAGGTTAGTGTTAAGACTTGTCGGCCTGTTGTCAGGATAAAGTGACTGGATGGGATATCATGCTACATGTCTGCGGCATGATTCTCCATTGCTAGATACCACTATAAACTGTCACACTGCAGACATCCTAGCGATATGGTTGAAAATTTTTTAAAGATACGTTAAAAATTATAATTACATCACAACACATTAAGGCTGAAAGTAATTTCCCAATTTTGCAGTCTCACGGAGTATTTTTTTCACCCAGCTAATTCCCTGTCATCCTATCCTCAGAAACATGGATCTTGGGTAGACATTTCCGCTGGAAATTCCACTGCAGAGTCATTTCCCCTGGCGGAAACACTACTACGGAGAACTCAAATTACTGAACGTTAAAAACAGCTATGGTTAAATAGGGTTCAGCATTTGGCAGAAGAGAACGGGTTAAAATGTTTCAACAAAGAAAACTCTAACTGAATTAACTTCTGTAGATTACATGAGCTTTCGTATGACTCAAAATTCTAATGTTTCTCTAATCCATGTTGTGGAGGACAATTGTAGGACTATTTATTTACCGTACACCAACTTTCTTTCCACATATAAGATGCCCAAGAACAAATATAAAGAAACCTACGGTTTTCATGCGATTCTTATCAAACACAAACTAGGGTACATACCGGAAAGTGCTTTAGTAATATATAAACATGATCCTGGCTTTATTGTGTAAGAATCAACTCTCTTCTCAGTGCTTTAGCCACAGTCAGGGACTTGGTGTCTTGGAGTTTTTAGAACCTTTCCTTCAGGAAGTCTCCATGTTGAGGCAAATCAACATTCATTTGATCTCAAAGGAATGAAATTGAAACTTCAGTATGCAACCAAATTGTCTTTTAATCCATCATATGATGTCTTCTTTAGGCCTCAATACCAGTCCGCTCAGTAGGTAATACTGGTTCCATCTTTTGGCATGCAAAATCATTCTTTCCGAAAGTGTAGTAGAAATCAGTCATGCAAATACTAAAACTTTCTTAAAGATGAAAACAAGATTTGAGGTACCGTTGGAATCGCAAAATCCTATGGCGCTATCTTTTGCCGGTCACCGGACAAAACCTCCATTGCTACTGCAAATATTACAGCCATACTCAAATATTTCTCATTCAAGCTTCTCCAAAACCAAATTTGATATTTTCAGAATCCATTTCAATACAGTAGGCTATAAGAAAGATTTGTTTTTAGACAACCAGTCCATGTTCAGCATCTATTAGACACAAGCTGATTTATACAAAAATATTTTGTAGTATTAGCTGAAAATGCAATCAAAGCTCTCAAGCAGTCACAAACATTTTAGTGTCAGATAATAAAAACAGAACAATTACTTCAAATATAAATCGGTATGTTCTATATATCTGGACCGCTCCGGTGGCCTAGTGGTTAGAGCGTCAGCCTCGGATGCGGGATGTCGAGGGTTCGATCCCTGGCCGAGTCATACCAAAGACTTACAAAAATGGTATTAACAGCTGCCTCGCTGGTGCTCAGCATTAAGAGGTTAGTGTTAGAACTGGTGTGACTGGGTGGGACATCATGCTACATGTCTGCGGCCTGATGCTCCATTGCTAGACATCACTCTAAACTGCCACAATGCAGACCTAGCAGCTATATGACTGAAAAATTGTTAAAGCTACGTTACAATTCCAATTCACGTCAGACATCGATATATTTGGCAAAATATCTTAGAATTCCACAAACAAGCATCGGAACACTGAACACATCAATGGAAAGTAGCATCTTTCATACAGAAAAAAATGTGCCGTTTGCGTATGAACCGCGTGATTCATTCATACCTTCTACAGGGTTAATCTCGACCACAGTTCATGCACTGCCCGTGTCCACACAGTGGAACACATTCTTGCTGTGACCATACAACTACCGTCCTGTGAGACAAAAATTTTTGTACCGTTTCTTCGAATGCGGTTTATCCAATAAATTCTGACCATATATTGTGAGTATTTTATACGTTGTGCAGTTGTCAATGATTATATATATTTTTACACAATAGTTATGGTCTTTTATAAATTCTTGTTGTGGATACGCATCTCACTAATAATGTCACTAAGTAATATTTTCAGGAAAAAATTCTTGACAACTCTCAAGTTTCTGCCGATTTATTTATTATATACGTGAGACATGTTTTAAGAAAGTTTATCGCCTTTATTTCTCTTACTATTGAGTTGTCGGCAACTTGAAAGGTACAAAATGTTATGTCTGTAACCACCTTTTATGTGAGATGTCTTTTTCACATACTTTTGAATTACTCATGGTTCGATCATGGTCTGACATCTACGATTGGCAGTGTACTCGTTCTATAACCATGGAACATGTTTACCCATCTTTCAAAAGTGTTCTCTACCAATAATTTGTTATGTACGAAATTCAAATCACGCGATTCACAAGGAAAAAAGACGACGAGGCAAACTAGTAAATTCCTAGCTCTTCAAATGTGTCTAACAGTAATCTCATAATGGTATATTAATGTCGTTCACACATGACGTCACGCAGTGAGGGATGAGGATAGCGATCCAGATGAAATATTGGATAATTGTTATAACATTTAACTGGTTTAAATTGCTGTGTTTTTAAGTATGAAATTCTATTTTTCGATATAATGTAATACACATTTTGAAAACATAATGTGGGCTAAATAAACTGAAAGCCTACTCGTAAATAAACTTAGATTTTATAAAAGTAAAAAATTAGGGTAACAAGTTATCGCCATCCTGACAACAGTACGACGAGATCAAAGACACACGGAAGTTTTGCAAGTTGAAAGGCGGTATTCGGTCCGCAGCGAACGTATAAACTTTAAATATTTTTCCGTGATAAAACAACAAATGTAATTAGTAGTAGGGTCAAGGTTGGGCCTTGTGTCGTGCTGGGATGCAACACATTAAACGGAATAAATATGTTAGCTTTTCTTTTCTTTTCTCTCTCTCTCTCTCTCTCTCTCTCTCTCTCTCTCTCTCTCTCTCTCTCTCTCTCTCTCTCTCTCTCTCTCTCTCTCTCTCTTTTCAAAACGTTTTGTTGACATCACTGAATTGTTAGATTATAAACAGCCATACTAGTACAAAGAGGAACAACCATTGCTTTTGCAAAGTACTGGATATCGCAATGCAAAGTTCAGCTTCTCATTGAAAAAGATAGTTCGAAGTCTAAAAAGCATCAAAACCTTACATCAATTAACAGAGCATATTAAAAAAAAAGATGGCTTCAATATCAGGACTATACATTCGTTTACTTCCTAAGCGTAGTTCGTCGTCAGAAGGTAAGCGTCATGTAACTACTGTCCCTGTGAAGTTAATTAGAGCGCAAAATGATTATAACATTAAACATAGTGATGGCCAGTTTTGCACAGCTACAATTAGACATTTGAAAGAACTGTCTCCCATGCTTGGACCGGATGAGGTTTGTTTTATTGGCCAGGACGATAAATGTTGCGTCTCAATTGGTCTCGTCGCTGCCAATAAGTAGAGTCCACTGTTAATGCACGTTGAGTATAAAGTAAGCCTTCCTGACCTTGACTGGGTAGTTGCACGTATGTAAAAGTAAAGGAGTGTTTCTTTGTCCTGAGTCTTCTTTCTTCTTTCCTTCTTTCTTCTTCTTTTTCCGTTATTCCTTTGTTCTCCGGGAGCTCCTAGAAACACGTCCGTCCTCTTCGAAGGCTGATAACCATCGCAGTAAGCGAATGTGAGACAATTACCCACTGACTGATCTGTTATTATAGTCATGTGTCCACTCTCGTGTATTATGACTGGTTAAAGCCCTGATAAGGGCTAGCGGCCTCCCCTCCTTTCGAGGCAGGGCTCACCCGTATCTAAGTGCTTGACACTTTTTGCCCCGGCGCATGGGCTACCCCCCCCCCCAGGTGGTTTACCACCTTAGCCGGACTTCACCTTTAGGTGTAGTTGCTACCTAGGGAGGTGCGTAGCCCTAGTGCTGGGCTTTTGCTCCAGTGCTTGATCTTTTGTTATTGACCTTAACAGACTTTTGATTGGAAATCCCTGACACAGTCAGACTGCCAAGACCCCCGGACTCGGAAAAGGCAAAGGAAAACATCCCAGAAAGGAGGTGTCTATACAAAATCGTATCTCCATGGCCTCTCCGTCTTGACCCAGGGGCCTCCTCATCTTCGCTAGTCTTTCTGAGTGGCCCCTGTGTGCAGTCTGTATCCCCATGGTCCCACCGTCCTTACCCAGGCGTCTCCTCTTCTTCCCCTTTGTGCTGCTGGTGCTGGCAATGGATGTCGTGTTTAGCTCCTCATGCGGTTAAGGCACGTGATTAGGGGGGGTCAGCTATTGCCCATTGCCTAATTGTGGTGGGTGGTGTCCCTATCTGCCAAACTTGTATATGCTACAAACGTTTCAAATATTCCTGAGTTGTGAATTTTCCTATTTTTTTTTTTTTTTTTGTAGTTGTAGCTTTGTACAGTGTACTTTTGTATAGTTTTTATTTCTTTTAGGTGTAATTTGGATCGGGTGTTTTGGTACCCTGTGTTTTTTGAATGTCTAATTTGGATATTCAGTTGGTTGTGGTGACAGGTCTAATTTGTACTTTCAAGGGCCAATTCAGGGTTGTTTTTTTCCAAAGAGGGCTCCAGCCAAAGGGAGCCCAATGTATGGCATACGATTATTACGTCTTTTCTAATTACTCCTGCCGTTAAAATGACAAGGGAGTAATTTGTTTTTATCCTTGTGGTTGAATTGCATTCTCCCACTTTGTTGTGTGTTGTTTTTTTTTTTGTGTTTTTGTGTGTGGTGATGAGATTAGCTTTATTTCAGCTATCCCTTATTTTGGGACTTGTATTTGTATAATTGTTTGGGTTTGGGCAATCTGTAGAGCTACTGTGATTCTCTGCGTATATGCTATATAGTGTGATGGGGGGGAGGGAAATGGGGGTGGGTGGGTGGATGTTTTATTAGATTTTGGAGGTTGTCAGATTGTTACTCATCTAACCTTTTTGGTAAAAAGCACTACTGATCATCTTTTCATTTGTATGTGGCTTTTTCAGCCTTTTGTTGTTTTCAGTCTTCAGTCCTCTCTTCTTTTGTCGCTAGTATTTCAATTCTGCTTGTTCTCCTTGTGAGTTGGTTTGTTGTGTTGTAGAAATTTAAAATGTATTTTCATTCCACTTCTTCATTTTGGAGTTTACAGGCTTGTATTTAATTTTTGTCCGTTTATATCATGTAGTCGCCTTCACTCCCGGTCCTTCATTTTGCTATCTTTTGGCTGTGTAATTTTTTTTTCTGCGTTATTTTATAGGCGGACGTGATGAAAAACATCCTTCTAGTTTCAATCCTAGTTTGTTTTCAAGATTGGGGTTGCCTTATTTATTAACTGATCTGACTATTTTATAAGGACAAATGTGTTAATGCTGAGGTTTAGATAATTGTGTTGGAAAAGAGGGGTTTGCATTTTCAATCCCTTTTAGTTTATGTATATTTTATATCACATTGTATTTGTTGTAGGTAGTCAATAATGTTTGCATGCGAGGTTTGGATATTTTTGTTGTACTTGGGTTGGAAGAAAATGGGGTATGTGTAAGGTGCTTTTATTTTGGATTGCTGGTTTTGAAAATTTATTCTGTGTGCATAATAATTTACACATTCATTAAAGATATGTTCCAAGGTTTCAGGCGTGTTACAGTGCGGGCAGTTTGGTCTGATCGTTTGTTGAGTAGTGACATGTTTGCCCATACTATTGTACAATTTGGTTCGGCCTGTTCTAAGTCTGTTAATTATATGATTTTCCCTATGATTTGGTAAAGATTTCCATTTGATGTGGCGATCAACTTTGTTTTTGAATTCAGTACAGCTGAGTGTGACTGAAGTTCGTCCCACTGTAACTGCCACTGGTTGTTGATATATTGTTGAATTTGGGAGTATATTTCGCGGGTGCTGTACCCTATATCAGCTCTATAGCTGGTGATTAGTGCTTCGCTGGCGGTTTGGTCTGCAAGATCATTGCATTGTAGTTGTATGTGGGATGGTACCCATAGGAATTCAATATGTCTCCCCTGTTCGAATGACTTGCGTAAGCTGTATAGCGTGCTTTCCACCATATTTATTCTGTTTGTTGGTTTGGTTGATTTAATTGCTTGTAAAGCGCTTAGTGAGTCGCTTATTATAAGGTATGATGTTTGGTCTTGGGTAAAGGTCCAGTTTATGGCTTGGTTAATGGCCCAAAGTTCTGCAGTGACAAATGAGCTCCCATCGGGGAGTCTGACCTTAATTTTGTGTTGTTTGGAGGAAATGACTACTGCTGCTGCGGTAGAATTTTTCTGCGAGTTTTTGGAGCCGTCCATGTAAATATGTGTGTGCTCTTTGTACGGTGTGTTCAAAAGTTCCTATATGTGGGTTATGAGCTTCCGTGAGTTATCTTTTTTTATTACCCCCCCTCTAGTAGTTGAAAGTTAATTTTAGGAGTTTGATTCGG